GTGATTGTTAAAATTTTGGAACCTAAAATCTCGTTAGGGCAAAATTCAATCCCATGATTCAAGCTTGGGATTGATTCTACCGATTTCTTAAAATTATTCCTAGAACTGCTTATAAATTGGATGAATTCTAACACAAAAAAATAAAGAAAAACATAGAGAATATCACTGAAAGAAGGTTTGAGAAATTTCTGACAAAAAGGGTTATGAAATTTGATCTTGGGATTTTGGAGTTAATTTATGGTTCTGAGAGTGAATTCAGGTTTCTATAGGTAAATTTAGGGTTATAGAAGGTTCGGAAAATGCTCAAAACTATCTAAGAATTTTTTTGGATTTTTATTAAATTTTTTTGGTTTTTTTAGGTTTTCTTACAAACTTTGAATTTTTTGGTGGAATTTCCTGATGAAGGTCAAAGTTCTCGGTGAGATTTCCAGAATTCGATAAGTTTTTCATAAATCGGTGGGTTTTTCAGTTTTCAGTTAAATTTTTCAATGAAGTTTTCAGAAATCGGTGGGATTTTCAGTTTTTGATTGAACTTTTTCAGTGGATTTTCTAGAGAGAGGTCAGAGGTTTTTGGGGTTAGAGAGAGAGAAAGGCTCTGAAGTTTCTGAGAAAAAATGCTGAAAGGTGCCTTATATACCGCCTCTACACAATGTTATTTTGGCCGCTTAGGATCTGCACGTTGACCCGAAAACCTGTTCGTCGACCTGCGTCCTGACCCGACCCGAACATAGGTTTTCTTTTTTCATTTTATTTTTATTTTTTGATTTGTTTTATTTTATTTTTAACCTTTTTTTGTTATTTTTTAATATATATATATATAAATAAAAGATAAAAGAAGATCATCTCTACCATTTTTATTTCTAAAAAAAAATGAAGTTTTTTTTAAAAAAATAAATGAAAAAAAACCAATGATTCATTGTTAAATTATTTGGTAAATCATAAAAGTGATCAAAGCTTGGATAATTTGAAATCAAACTGATACCATCTTTTGGATGGACGTTGTGGCAGTGCTACAACTTTTCCATACGCAACCGACTTTCGAACTTAAACTTTGTTTTACAGATCAGCTTCAATTAGGTGACCAATCACACTTAACCAAAAAAGATTGGTAGCAACTCCCTTTCATCTGTATCATAGCGATAGGTCTACGGATCTATACATTATGACAAGAAGTAGTGAAAATTGTTATATAAAAAAATCTATCTATAATGATTGAATAAACATAAATTTCATTGACAAAAAAAGAACAAACATAAACTTATATTTAAATAGTTATAATTTTTTATATAATCGTGATTTTTATAAATAATAAATTATTTATATTCAAATAATTGTGATTATTTTTAATATCATAATTATTTATGTTCAAACATAATTATTTAAAATATAAATAAAATAATACAATAATTAATTTTATTTATTAATAATTAAAATTTTTTTTCTAATGTAGATGCATCATATTGTAAATTAGTAATACAGAGTTGCATTTAATGGTGTACCAACAACATTTATCTTCGAGTGTGCTTACTACCGTAATATTCAGAAGGGACTCTGCTTGTTAACCACAGATCAAATTCAGGGTGTAGATCCATTAACCTGGTCCTACGTGAATATTATGGCCAGAGATCAACAAATTTTCTTTAATTAATTACTTCGTCCAGGCCATGATCAAGATGAGTAAAATAGGCGTCAAGACAGAGAGTAATGATGAGACTAGACGTGATTGTGGTTCCTTCAATGGCTAAGATTTGTTGCTTTCCTTCCATATGCTGGCAGTCCCAAATGTTTCCATTATTCTATTTTCCTTTCTGGTTCTTATAATTTGTACTATTTTTTCGGTTTTGGGTTCAATGGAATGTCAACTTAGGATTATGAAGTACTATCTAAAGATTAAGATTCTCATATCATCTCCCCATATATTCCTCCCTTTGGAAAAATAGAAGCTTTTCCTGTCATGGCCTACCTCTTAAGTTCATTCAAGAGACAACCTAGTTGCTATCAACCGATTTGAAGTCAAGTGAATGAATCTACTGATATAAACATATATGATCGTGCATTATTAATTAGTTTCACTGGTGATGATTTTTGGAAGTCACTGAGTAGAGCATAGGAGTATAGGCACAAATTAGCCACGTGAAGGATTTTACTTTCATATATTAATGGGCAATGTCATTTTCTCAAGAACAAGTTTTCCAGGTGTAGAAAGATGCTCGATATCTGATAATAATCCAAACAAAACAAGCAGAACTTATTCTTTAGTCTTTACCAGAATCTGTATTTGTATGAAATTGGAAAAGGTGCCAGCGCTGTATGAAATGTGGACGATTGGAGCTGCAAGACGGATAATCCTGAGGCTATATAAGCAAGTCGTTTGTCTCCCAAACTTTGCAGAATCAGGAGAGGCAGGCAATAATATAAACAAGGCGTTTCATATTCACTCTCCCTCAAGGGCTTCTTCAACATACCATGCACGGGTTTAAAGCTACACGTACGGAGTGCTTGGTGAAGTCCATAGGGAGTGTGCATGAGATTTGGTCTTTCATGTTCTCAATAGATCAGAGTAATACTAACTGCACAAGCCCTCCATCATAGATGGTTCTCAAATCTCAGTTCATGTAACAACTTTAAGAAAATCAATGATGAGAACGTTAAATTTCATTTTGTCCTTTCTTTTTAATACAAATAACTGGCGTTAGGTGCTTTCTATAGCATAAAGATTTGAACATATATGAAGTCAGTGTCAAAACCAAAATTTGCTACACTTTCATTTCTTTGGCCTCCCTCTGATAACCATTTTCTCTGGTTGGATTGAATCGGACATGTTGTGCTGTTCTCATTGTTTACTACTGTTGTCCCAGTGCTAGTTAAAAGATGTTCTGTGGAATTGATTTGAGCAAACTTTTAGACTGAGGGTTGATTCAGTCATTATGCAAGTAGTTCTTTCCTGGATCTGACACCAAAAGTTTGGTCTTACCGTTGAAGTTTACAGGTGTCAAAGGTGATCGTTAGAATAAAGGAAGGAGTTGAAGCTGCAGGTGGATCCATAAGTGAGAGCACATTTTTACAAATTGGGCTTGAGAGCTCTGCTCAAGCCTAATTGGCTTGAAAAGAAGGGCAGGTTGTTGCCAAAACAAGCCAGGTGTCATGGTCAGGCCTTGGTCTTGTCATGACTGACCCTGAATCGAGCAGCAATCAAGATCAAGGTGACGGGAAAGTAATTTTAAGAGATACAAGCTTGCATTTAGAGCTTTGGAACATGTTACTAATATATTGTGCGGACAGTGGGAGCCATAGATCGCAAGATAAGCAAGTAAGTTCGGGACAGTGATCAAGCACCCTCAAGCCAAGTAGTTTGGTGGGTGCCATTAGTGGAAGCAGTGTGCGAGCGTTCTGAGCATGAGAATATGTTGGGGATATTGCGCGTGATAGTCCAAGTCCTAAACCCCAAGATACATAGGTAAGTGTGAGGCAGTGCGTCGATACCTTGAGATCAGCTAGCCAGTCAGGTGCTGTTGGTCGAAGCCATATGCGAGCATCTTCGAGTAGGTTGGTGGAGCAATAAGCAGAATCAAGGAATAGTGGTGACCAAGAGGAAGGTTATGGGGCCCTGAGTTAGCCGAAGAAAGGCCTTGATATGGCTGGAAAGAAAAGTGTCCCTATTTCGGACATTCTTATGGTCACTGGTAGAAGACTGAGAAAATCTCTTACGCTCTTTACAAGAGGACGACTAGTGTCAGCTCTCCACCACCCCATTGGCTAGCGGGCAGGTAGGGGCCTGGCTGGTCTGAAGTGAGCTATTCCTATGCACTAGTGGTGTCTAGGTGGGCAGGCATCGTAGGGTCATAAGCGTGGCATGATGTTTCCTCGGGTCATGGTAAATCCGGGGACGATTGGGGCCGACAGGCCTCGTATCGCGCCTTTGTGTTGAGGCATGAGGTTACACAGTAGAGATCGTTATGCCCATTGGTTTTCCTTCCTTGAGCCGGAAGGATCATGAGATGGTGTTTGCGTAGGAAGGATGCCATCGAGCTTGAGGGATGTGCGGGCTAGCAGGCAGGCACGCTGCTAGCCCCTTCTGGCCAATTGGTAGAGGTGTGCTGCAGCTGAGACAACACACCCAAGCCCCTTGGCGGGACTAGCATGATGTTAGGTGTCAATCATGCGTGCGGATAGCCCATATGGAAGCTAAGGGCCGAAGCCCTAAGAATTGAGTCTCGTAGGACAAGATGAGCCTAGAGGCTCCGTGTTGGCTGCTGACCAGCATAAATGGTGTGCTTGCGTAAACTAGATACGAGAGCTTGCGTACGATACAAGCGGGCATGGTGTTGGGTTCCCCATATCAAGAAGAAATAGTGTTATGAGAACCGGGGCTGTGTGCCCTTACTGAGATTCGAGGATCGGTGCTCGAGACCTTAAGCCCTGCAGTCAGAGTTGGGTGCTCGAGGCCACTTTGAGAATCATGGGCTGATGAGCAATGGGAGTTGGGTTCCTCTCTATAGAGTTCAGAATGAGCAACCCTACGGGATCAAAGCTAGAAAAGGCTCATGGGTATGCGGCTTGAAGGATCAAAGTTGATCTGTCCAAAAAAAAATGGACTCGTGGTTTCAGTAGGAGGAAAGTACGGACCGTGACACCAGGCCTCTTCCCTAAATGAAGGATAAAGTTGACAGCATTGGCCGCCAGCCTGCTCCAACAAAACACCCATCCCATTTTTCTCCGAAGAGGAGCCGTCCTCCTCTCCTGCTTAATAGACAGATGATCGGTTTGTTCGTTGAGCCACAAGATTTGTATTCATAACGAGTTCTTATGCAAGCAGATTTTGTTTTCCAAGGCTCATAGTGGTGCGAATTTTCCATGTTTCCAAGGAAAACCAATATATGCAAACTGATCCATGTCATGAAATAAGTTGTTTGCGCTCGGTTTGATCCACATCGATAAAGAAATAAGTAAACTTGTTTTTTGCACTCAGTTTGAACTCTCAGTGGTTGAGAGCAAGAAAACACGAAGTTCATTTTGTTTAAAACACAAGCTCATCTCCATTGTTGCAACAGCAACTACTTGTGCTAATTTATCTGAGTTTGACCTTATCTCTCTCTCCTGGCGATGACATTGGTAACTCCCAAATTCCAGTGCACATAGATTAGCTTGTGATAAGTAGTAAGGCCATCAACAGCTTTTTTTATTCTGTGCAAATTCTAATTTGGCAGAAATTAGAGGCTTATTGCAGCATTACAAACAGAATGAAAAATGTTAATATCACATTGCATCATGAACAGTATTACCATAAGAACGACACTTCATCCTCCGGTAACAAGAATGAGAAGTCCAACTTCATATATTTGAAAGTTTTCACAGTCGCATGGATGAAGTTAGTAGCACAGAAAATGCAAGTTCAGAATTTAAAATCAGTCTTGAAAAGCCTGAATATGACACCCAAGTAAATCCAGTATTCCATTTAAAGAGCCAATTCCCACCTAGCCCTTATATGCTTCTCCCTCCAGGATTAAAGATTATGATCCTACGCATGTTAAAAATCTACAACTAAAAGTAAATTCAGAGGCAGCAATATTAAGAAAAGGCGAAAAGCTCACTCGATCTAGTTAGCGGCTAATCTTTTCAATCTCAAAACTAGAAACAAATCCCTACTCAAAACGCTTATGGAAAGACAAAGCCAGCCAGCCATTTTAAGAGTTCATAAATCTTCATTTTACAAATGGCACCCCAGAAGGGACCCGACCTGCATACTCCTCATAGTCTGACCCAAAAAACTGCTTCAAGAAATACTCTTCGTAAGGTATTCTTTCCGAAAAGAATTTCCAAACAATAATTGCAAAAGCAATTGTGGATACGGGATTACAGAGCATTATCTGAGTGCCAACTGACCAAATGAGGAAACCAGAGTACCCTGGATGACGGATAAATCTATAGACTCCATAAGTAATTAGTTGATGATGCTCCTCGTGATAAACCTTGATAAGATGTGTGAAGGCTCGACCAGCAGTTATTATTGCCAATTTTCTTATAATCTCCCCTATTACCACCATTGCAAGACCTGTGTCACTTATCCACCAGTGTTCCTTCAGCCCAGGGAATAGAAAAATTTCAAGGAAATACTCCAGCAAAGAAAAGATCATTGCAAGAAGATAATTTTTGCTAATTAGAAGTGACTTGAGAGTAACATTTGATCTCCCATGAATGGAAACTGCTAGGATGTATTCTGAACTATGAAAGAAGGCTACTGCCAAGAACATCTGAGATAACTGTCTGCAAGCTGTGTAACTTAAAATTTCTGTCATTTTGTTATAAAAAAATAAGTAAATTTCTGTCCTTGAACTTAAGTTACTTAGATATAGAGCAAAGAGTAATCAAATCTCAGTGAAGAACTCTAATGCAGCAGCGTTCTAAAATTTAGTTTAGACCTGCAAAAGATATAGAATTAGGCATTTGCAGCAGCACCGAAAATTGAGTCACAACATCTTCCCAGAGATGCTTTAAGCATGACATCTCTCCTGCTAAAATAAAGGCAAAAGGCAAATATGTGAGTATTAGAAAATGCAAGAATAGTCCCCAACAGTTTGGCACCAATTAAATTTGACGTCAACTCCAAAATAGAACCAAAAAAGGACACATTATAACAATAAAGAAATGGTAGTTGTAAATTGCAGGAGATTCAAAATTTTCTGCTATGATAATATCAACCAAATGCAGACAATTATAAACATTGCATAAAAATTCCTCAAGTTTGTTTTTTTTTTCTTCTCTATTTGCGTATGACTAATCGAAATCTGGAGATCATTAGCAAGAGGGCAATTATGATAAGGGAACTCCACAATGCCACAGCATTATGCATATTCTGAAAGCAAGTTGACTACAACTAATTCAGGGCCTTTATCTGGTTAATATTTTATTTTCAAGCTCTTTTTCTGTTCAAACAATACTATCTAGCTTCCTATCTATTATGGGAATGGAACAGTTATTCATAGAAATAGCAAAACTGTTCATTTGATATTTCAGCCATGTTACAAGAAATGTTTAGTCCTCTTTCCATCTATTCAATTTTAATCTTCAATTCCCCTAAATATCAAGAATTTTCTCTTAAATCAGAACAGTACAGAGTTGAAATGTTTAATCTTTGATCAAATGATGTAAACTTCGGAGCCAATTACTTAATCTACAGCAATTCATCCAACAATCAATCAGAAAAGGTAAAAAAAAAAAAAGGAAAAACCCGAGGTAAAGACTGAGAGAATATAAGACAAATTCTTCACTAAAATGATGAATCAAGAGAGAGAAGTACAATAAGACAGTGGGAAACCTGATCGATTGTTGTTTTGCTGGACAAAGTGTGTCCAGGTGAAGGATTGTAAAGGATCTTTGGCTCGATACCCAGAAATCTGTAAACTGCTGTTTGGGTTTGTTGGATAAGGTCGTCGTTAGCACAAGTCAGGTTAAGGCTTCTGTCGTTTGGAACGAAAAAAGGCTAGCGTTTTAACATTCAAGACAAGTGATAACTCAGAGACAAGGACATGGATACATCTTCCTCAGATATTTGAAGTAACATTTGTTTTTGTTGGTAGCTTTGAAAATTTCTTCGTTTATTTATTTGGTTTGATCATTCGATTTTGATTTTTTAATTTTATATTTCTCAGAGAAATAAGGTCATCATCTGTTTTGATGTTAAGGCATTTTGTTTGTATACTATTTACATTTCTCTTTTTTTTTTTTTTTTTTTTTGTTTCCTTACTTTGCCAGCCAAAAGCTTAACCTCTTGGACGTTACTTGGTGATGCCAATTGCAACGTGCCTTTCCAAAGGAGAGCTCTCAATGCACTCCCGTTTTTGTGCAGTACATCCTCTTTTTTTTTTTTTTTTTTTTCGAAAATTTTTAAATAAAATTACTTGAATACTATTTTTGTAAATTTTTGGATATTCATAATTTTTGAAAAATCACAACATTTCTCAAAATTGAATTCCGAGAAATCATAACACTCATCTGAAATGCAAAAATTTTATAACAAATATAAAAAGAGAATTTTATTAAAATTATTTATAAATAAGTGTAATAAAAAATTATTATTAAAAATAATAAAATTTAAAATTAATAAAAAAATTATTTTTATCATTTTGATTTTAGAGGTACATAATATCTCTGAATATGATGGTTATATGCTTGCTGAGATTTTTTAAGACATTTCAAAGAATAAGAAAAATAGGAAAAATTCATCATTGTCATATCTTCAACCTTACATAAATATGAAAACCAATAGAAAAAGTGTTCAAAAAATTGGAACTAATTCAAAGTTAAAATTTTTTTATCAATATTGCATACTTATAAATAAAAAATAGTCATATTACTGAATATTATATAATTTTATCAAAATCTATGGAGAAATCTATCGTAATAAGCAAATAGAAATACTTTTTCAAGAAGTTTAGTTTAATTAAAATTATTATAAAATTTTAATAATTGGTAAAAAAATTCATTAAAAATGATAAATTTTCAATTTATAAAAATTATATTTATTATTTTATCTTTAATTTAATTAAGCTCTCATAATATATTTTTTTTAATAATAAAATTTTTCATTATACTTATTTACATATAATTTTAATAATTTTTTTTATAATTTTTCATAAAATTTCACTTCTAACATTCTCAAAATTCATTTTCGAAAAGTATTATAGATTTTCAAAAATGCATTTATGAGAAGTCGAGTGTTATGATTTTTCAAAAATTTATTTTCGAGAAGTGTTATAACTTATCAGAAATACATTTTTGAAAGTTATAAAATTCATGAGAAGGATATATTAATAATTTCACTTACAAAAAATTAAAAAAAAAAAAGAATGCATTGGTGCAAATAAATTTCCTTTTCCAAATTAGGTATTGTTACTCATTGTCATATAAATTCTCTATTATTTTTAGGTACTATTTTTGATAATATGATATTAATTTTTTTTTCAAGTTACTATTCTACTCTACCTCTAAGTCTTTATGATTTCACTAACTATAGGTATCACAGGTTGAGACTTAAGCTTTAGGGTTGCGCGGTTCTAGGATATAGGAATTGACTCTTCCACATTTCAAATTAGCCTAACATAAAAAATCATGCACAGATACTTAAGACTGTGGGGCTTGAGTCTTGACCTGTGACAAGTAATATCAGAATTTGGATCGATGAAATTTTCAAAATAAGTGGCAAAATTTGATACCAGGGAGTATCGGAGCTTCATTTAGACCAAAGGTGGTGACTAGAGCATTAGTTCGAAGTGTGCAACAGATATCTACCCATGATAAGAGGAGCCAAAGTTATTGTGAGAGCTAGAGTTAGCATTGGTGTAGGTCGAGGACCGTGCATACGAGCATTCTGATGTGGTGTATGGGCATTATGGTGCGTTGTGCAGGCATTCTGCTATGTGTGTGGACATTCAACAGCGTGGTGCAAGCGGTTTATTGCGTGGCACAAGTGGACACAGGCACACGGGCACTGAGGATCTAGGTGTGGGCGTATGGTTGGACCAAAGTATGAGCACTCTTGAACACAGACATGAGATAATTAGAGTTGGCAATATTGAGTCAAGCCTACGTGCAGGCATAGGTACAAGCTCAGGCGTAAGCATTGTTGAGCATGGGTTTGGAATCGGTCAAGATAGATTCTCATTCAAATTGGATCAAAGATACTGGGCATATACTATAGCATTATATATCTTAAAATTCGAGATTGTATCATATCTCTTATCTCTTAGAATCATGAGATTTAAATTGATGTAATCTCTAAAGTTTAGGAAAATATCTCAATACTAATTGTAAGGGGACTTAGTTATAAATAAAAAATCCTCCATTTTTATTGTACACACCAAACCATTGATTTGTAAAATCTTTATTGTTGCTTTAAATTTTTTGATATTCTTTTGTTAGCCTTTTTTTAAGCACTTGTTGTACCCCTTTATTTTGTAGCGTTATGAGCAATCAAGCCCCACAATCTTGAATATCCGTACATGGTTTCTTGTATTAAGCTGATTTGAGAGGTGAAATAATTCATTTTCATGTCTTAAAGTGTGAATTTAGAATTTGAAGTTCGACCGTGACATAAAAACTTAGCTTGACAAGAGAAAGTATTTCGATTCAAACTCAATCAATTCTCTAATGTCTTAACAACCTTATGCTGCTAAGCCAAAGACTCGTTAACATGATATTGGCTATTGTTGATTGTATATCGGAGATGGTGATTGGGTGCTATGTTGGAAGTTTATTGAAAAAGCGTACGGGTGGTGGAGGTGACCTGCAAGATAAATAATGATAAAGGATGTTGGAGGTGGAACTCTAGATTTCAATTTGACACTTAAATCAGCAAGACGAAAAAAAAGAGAAAAGTAAAGGTTAAAAAAAGATTAAAAATGGATTTGAAATCCTAGTATTTAGTTTGGCTAATTTTTTATTTAGTTTAGATTAAATTTGAATATTAAATATATGTATTAGATTTGCATTAAATTTTGAATAAAAAAATTGAACCAATTATATATTTTTATTAGTTTTTATATATTTTTAAAATTTTGTAAATTTAAAATAATTATTTTATATCTAAATCTATTTAAAATATATTAAAAATTATATTAAAATAATTTATAAAAATAAAAAAAATTTAAATTTAAAAAATGAAACTAAATCGATAGAATTTAGCTAGAATTGAATTAATTAAAAAAAATCAATTTCAAGTTAGATTTTAAAAATTTATAATATTATAAATGATATGAAAATATCAAATCAAATTCAATTTAATTCGAATTATTATTATTATCTCTAATAAAAAATAACGATAAGTTAAGGAAGGGGTTGGAATGTTATACATTTTGTTTTTATATTAAACCAACTTGTATATTTTGTTTTTATTTTTTTACATTCGAATCCAATTTTTTAACTAGAAAAAATGCATAAATTATTAAAACCCTATGCTTGAGTATCGTAAAAAGAGATAATTAAGTGATAATGACGTGTTAAAGTTACTCTTTTCCCCAGCCTTCTATATTATCGTAAAAGTAAATCAGTAGGAAGTAGGAAACGATGGTATTAATGCTTAGACAGCATTAAGACAAGCTAGAACCCTTGAATGTTAATTGTGGATGCCAATACCAATTCGCCTTGCCATTAAGGTATCGTGAGTCACACTTGTCTAAATTCCCCGATAGCAATTGAATCGGCCAACTAATAGCAATTAACCATAGTTATTACTAGAATCTATGCTTTGAGTAAAAAAATAAACAAGAAAAAAACCCACACTTTATAGTGCAGATTTAAATACAAATTTTTGATCAAGAAAGTAAGTGCTAACTAGATTGACCTTGCCAAAATATTAATGTAGTAGAAATATGAAAAATAGGGTTCATGTTGTTCCATCTTCATTATTAAGGTGAACAAACATTTTGGGCAAAGGATGTACCATAGTCACAGGCTTGGAACAACAATACCTAATCAAAAACTACTATGTTCTTCTCATCCCTCCAACTATCCTTTTTCTTTCTCTTTATTTCTCTTTACCTGGCTTGCTTAGAGGTAAGCAAACTTTTGTCACCCCAATCCCCGCCAAACTACAATCATCACCACCATTACAAGCAGAAGATTTGCATTTTGGGGAGAGGTTACGGTACAACCAAGACTGTTCTCTGTCTAAACAGGGGCTGTTGTGAATTCACTTGCTTTGAATAACTTGATGGTGTAGCACCAGTAAGAAAACCTAAGACCATTGCCAACTCCTGCCATCAAAGTGAGAAGCTTCCTGATTCCATTTAGTCGCAGGTTTAGAGCTTCAAGACTCAGCAGTTCAAGCAATGGGAATTTTAGGCTCAATTAATTCACAAATGCCTCTGCACGTGCCATGAGTACCATTGCGGCATTCCAAGACACAAGGTGGTTAATAAATTCATTTATGTATTTCCCTCTGTCATTCTGCTTAGAAGAGGACAACAATAATTCAAGAATATATCTCGTAATGGACTGAAAAAGATGTGGTAGAGTGAGTACCATACCTTGTGATCCAAATAATAAGCATGCTGCAATAGCTAAATAATAAACTGTCAACACCTTGTAGTGTGAAAAAAATAGTCAATCTTCCTCTTTCCTTACACGATTGTGCAAAAAGGGAGAGAGGGAAGGATGACCTCCCACATATCAAAATCGAGGATGGGCTGCAACAGAGAAGATGGTTAATTTAATTTCTAAGATGGACATAAAACAATTACTCGTTCAAATATGTAGTTATTGACATACAATGTCATCCCACACAAGTGGATTGATAGAATTTGGTGTTTCAACTACTGCCAGTTGTCTCTCTTGCCTTTTCATCGAAACAATTAAAAGAAAGAAATTAATTAGAGTCGAGTAAAGATAAACATCATCTACCAAATATGAGAACATACCACTTACAATGGTTGCACTACAATTAACCAGTCACAATTCAAAATTGTGTAAGGTCTAGTATGGAGCCCATGTTTCTAAGTGATGGACCCCTATATAATTCTTTGTTGTGATTGGTAAATTTCAAGATTGTAGTAAAAAGAATTGTTGGTGAAATGTTCCTTCCAAATATATGCTATCGTTGTCAAGCAGAAGCAACTGGGCTAATGGATTAGCACTTATTTACTAAAAAATAATGCTGATTTATTTCATGTAAATGGTGGTAGTTCAACAACTATTGTATAATCATACCGAAGCAAAAAGTAAGGAGAGCAGAACTGAGGGGGAAAGCACCATATAATTTTTATATATGCAAGAAGAGCATGTGCACAAGTGGTATCTTCATAGAAAGACCTCCTACTAGCAACAATATACTAGGGCTAATAAAGGGAGAAGGCAAGCTATGGAAATTAGACCTGGGCACCTAGCAGAGGGGAAGGGTGAAATAGTATTTTCCTATTCATGTGAGCTAGTCCTTCAACAATCAAACAGAAATTAACTTGAACAAGCCAAACCCAGCCAGAGCCAAATAATGTAAGAGCTGCTTCTACAAACTTTTCTCTGAAGTTTGTGAAAGACCCAAAATCCTTTTCAATCTGCAGAAGTAAACCAAGTTTGGGCAAGCTCCCACCTCCAGGTTGCATAGATTCCCAAAAGAAGTCATCGTTCCACACCAACAATTGTAAGCTCTAGTGGTTTATCCTATATTAGAGCTTTCTAATTTCGATGGACCAAAATGTTACATAAACATGTTGAAAAATGCCAGCTTTTTAACACTAAATGAGAACAAAAACTTGAAAACATTAATCGATTTACATGCATACATCACTAATGGATTAAGATTTAACTCATTAAATGGTAGTACCATATCAAGCAGAACTTAAGTTCCCAAAAAGAAGAAATAAATTCTGGTTACAGATTCAATCCTAAAAAATGATGTAAACTCACTCCAGGATCAATGGTTACTAAATTTGTTCATCAGTGGATGCACAGAGACCCAAGAATTGCTCTTAACCAAATAATACTAAATGAGAATCACATATCAAATACAACCAAATAAATTTAAGATGAACAGTTCAAGTTTTATACCTCTGCTGCGTTGTTAAATTCAGGTAGGGGATTCCTATTGTTATATATTGCTTTGACAAGTTCATCGTTAGTGTAGCCATACAGTAAATCACGTTGCCCAAGCTGTTTATTCAGGTCTTCTACAAAGCTTCGATGATGCACACCCCAATGTACCTCCAATGCCCTCTTACTCATATAGGTTCTCAAGCATCCTACAAATAGGTAAGGAATGCTGATAAGTCTAGGATAAAGGAAGTTCAGAAATGAAGAGTGCCCTTTTAAAAAGCCACAGATTGCTATATCATGACAATTTTTTACACTTAAAAAACAAGAGTAAGTAATTTATAATCTGCAAAATAATCATTAAAACATGGGGAAAAAAGTTCCATTCAACTGGAACAACAAAAAAGGAAAATTTAAAAGGAAAAGAAAATTCATTCACAAGGTTATGAGGAGGCGTCTTAGCCCATAGTAAGCAACAGTTCTACAAACTTTTACAGACCCATTAGACCTTCCTTTCTGCTGCTCACTCTAAATAAATCAGCAATGTACTAACATTCTCAACATTTTTTCTCGTTGTAAGATTAACAAAACAAAAATAGCACAAACAGCAGATTTACTTCCACAAAGAACAGAAAAATACAGATGCAATAAAAGATTGAAATTGGCTACTATTTTATTTATTCTTGAAAAGTAAAAAAAGGGAAGAAACGAACCAGGTAAGAAAGCTTGAGGCTTTACAGTGGGAGAGTGAAGTCAGTCACGAGGAGATGACAAGCCATTTCCTTGCTTCTGTTCCCTTCCGTCTGTCAGCGAAGGCCTAGATAACAATATTCTCTTTTCCTTTGAAATTGAACCTTTCATGACTGTCTTAGGCCTTAAGCCCATGTAAGAGCAGCCCAAAATGTCTCAGCCGAAGAATTCAAAGATTTTTTTATTTTAATAGAAATACCTACTTGTACTGTTGTAAATAACTGCTAAATAAACTTAATATAAATAAATTTTATTATGTTAATAAAGGAATATAAACAAATGAAATTTATTTATGAATTATTTATTGAACATTTTTTCATTTTATATCTCTAGTTATAAAAGAATGGAGTATAAATTAATTTTGACATCTATTTATCATAAGTTTAATTAATTAATTAATTAATTATTTTAAATTTTAAATTTATTTTTAAATTTAGATATATCAATAAATAGGGTATAAATATGATAGAACATTTTTCATCTTCATTTTTTGATTTTCATATTATACTTTTTCGTGTATTTTAAATTTATTCTTATTCTTATTTTCGTGAATATTTAATAGATAAAAATAATTATGACACTTATAACTTTTAAAGAAAAAAACTAAAAATTAATTTTTTTTAATTTTTATCTTATATATTTAAGTAATTTTTTATTAATATATATTTTAATAAAAATATATTAATTTTAATTAATTTAAAATAATAATTTATATTATTTAATAAAAAACCTATATACTAAATATATAAATATATATATATATATATACAAGATGAATATTACATTATCTATCCCTATTTTTATACTTAATAAAAATTTAAAATCATATTTATTTCTATACCAACTATGTAATATTTATTTCTATTTTTTTCGAATAAAAAATTAAAATTTTTTTAGATATAAGTTAAATTAATATTTTTAATTAAATTTTTTATTTTTATTTAATTTAAAAAATATTATCAGTATAAAGTATCGCCCGTTTTTTAAGTGCTACTTTTAATAATATACCAACCGAAAAAAAAAGTATTAAACTTTAATAAACGAATAAAAATCTAATATATTCTGTTATGTAACTATTCCTTTGGACCCTGCTTGCAGAATAAAAGTTGATTGACAAAAAAAAAAAAAATTTCTTATAAAAAAGTTGCAATTTTTGGAAATCTTTCATTCTTAAATAAATAAAAAACCGAACTTGAAATATAGCAATAGCTTTAGCAAGCGATCAGAATCCTCGTATGAAGGTCGCCAGTAATAAGGGTTAGATAAAGACACCAAAAACCTCAGAGCCTCCGCTTTTCCTCGTCTGCTAAAACCTCTCTTTTCAACTTTTCAAAACAAAAGCCAAAAAAAAAGTTTTTATCTTTTCCTTTTCACTTCTTTACGCACTCTCTCCCACTCTGCAATTGTGCGTTTTAAGTATTGGAAATTCAATCTAAATTGATTTGATGGCGGCGAGGGCAGCTGGGAAATTGTATAGAAATTTCATGCGCCAAAGGGTAATTTCAACTTCCATCGGAGCTTCCAGACATTGCTCTTCCGCTGCTACTTCTGCTCCTAAGATCCCTCATTCTTCAAAAAAGGTAAGCTTTTCTTGAACCTCCATGTATGAAAAGCTATATGCATATCTTTTGCAATAGAAAAAGACAGATGTTTAAAGCCTTTATGGGATTTTTATTTACATTTTGTTATCCATTAAAATAGGTGATAAAAGTTTAGCTAAGCTAAACATAAATGTCTTGATAGGACGCTGGGTGTTTTGGAAGTTTTAATTGGGAGGATTAACATGGGTTCTTTTGCTTTACCAACTTCAGATAATAAGGTTTGAGAACATCTTAAATTGTTTGTATCTTGCATTGGAAATTGACTTGTTAATAATAAACTGGATTTTCTAGTCCATGGGATGGTTTAAAACATTGAATTGCAATTTTCATTATTTAACTTTCCAGTATGAGATCTTAACTTTCATTCATGTTCATTTGGTTGTGTGCATGAGTTGTCTGTTCTAAGACATTATTTTCTGATTTCGTGGTCTTTGGTTTATTTTTCAATTGTAGGGGAGGTTATTGACAGGAGCCACCATAGGCTTAATTATAGCAGGAGGAGCTTATGTTAGTACAGTTGATGAAGCTACTTTCTGGTATTTATTTTGGACCTCCCAATGATATTTTCCTTTGCAACTTGAAAAGTTTTGGCACATTTTGTTTCATTTTGCAAATGAGGAGGGTTTCCCCCTTTTTTCTGGCTTGAAAGGAATGTCTGCAATTCCTCTTGGCCTTTTTTTTTCTGTTGGATTTAGAAAATCATGTGAATGGTTCCACTGAGTTTAATCTGAAATTATTTTGAAAATGAACAAGTAGCTTCTCTTGAACACTTGCCTTTGCAAGTTATTATATGACTAAAACTACTGTGAGAGTAGTAACATTTCAACTTTTATATCACAGAAACCTGGTCGGTTTAGATTTTCTTAGCTTTCTTTATTTTCATCTCTGTATATTTTTTTCTTAGCTTTCTTTATTTTCAACTCTGTATATTTTTTTCTTTTTTCATTTTCTAGTCTAAGTTGATAGCTATCTTTGAAGAACACAAACTAAAACAACCTGCTGAAACCTTAATTGCCAATATGCCTTTATCTATGTTTTGATTTTAAATTTATATAAAATTTTTATGGATCCATTCACATAAATACCAGAGTTTGAAATGAACCCTCATGTATCTATTTGCCATCAACTTATACAATATGGAATTGTTGCAGTGGTTGGCTATTCTCAGCGACAAAACTTGTAAACCCATTCTTTGCACTTTTGGATGCTGAGGTTGCTCATAAACTAGCTGTTTCAGCTGCTGCACATGGCTGGGTTCCCAGGGAGAAGAGGCCTGATCCACCTATTTTGGGATTAGAAGTTTGGGGAAGGAAGTTTTCAAACCCAATAGGTCTTTCTGCTGGCTTCGATAAAAATGCAGAAGCTGTTGAAGGCTTACTTGGTATGGGTTTTGGCTTTGTGGAAGTTGGATCTGTAACCCCTGTTCCACAAGAGGGTAATCCAAAGCCACATATCTTTAGATTGCGACAAGAAGGGTGAGACCTAATTCTACTGTTTCTTTGACTTATTAACTTGCCTGTATTGTGGCATGGACTTGAGTAAGGCAATGCTTTCTTGTGGTTTTCCCCAGAAATTTGATAGCTTGAACTCATGTTACTTGGAGTTTAAATTTTTCTACATTATCTAACTCGATTTATTGGTCAGTGCTATCATCAACTGCTGTGGGTTCAATAGTGAAGGAATTGTTGCTGTTGCTAAGCGATTGGGTGCCCAGCATGGTAAGAGGAAGTTGGAGACGTCGAGCTCTTCATCACCCTTGAGTGAAGAAGCCAAACATGGAGGCAAAGCTGGTCCTGGAATTCTAGGAGTCAATCTTGGAAAGAATAAGACAAGTGAAGATGCCGCTGCTGATTATGTACAAGGAGTTCACACATTATCCCAGTATGCTGATTACTTGGTAGTTCTATATTCTTTATTTGAGTTAATTGATTCCTTTCCATATTTGCTTTGAGCACAAAATTTTCAGGCGAAATAAATGATGGAATTGTTTGTTTGTAATAGTTAAAATGGTTGCTTAGCATGATTTGCTTTGTTGTAATTTCTTTTATTACCTCTTTCTGGAGGGAGATGGATACATATTTTTCAAAATAGAAATATGATCATGATATGAGTATAACCTCAGGGGGCATAGTGATTCAATGCCCCCTTAATAATTTAAATGTGATTACTTCAAGAAATTTTCTTTGTGTATTTCTTGAATTGGATTGTATCAATGCCATAATATTGACCTCCTCAACTTTCATAGGTTATTAATATTTCATCACCAAACACTCCTGGATTGCGTATGCTTCAGGGAAGGAAACATTTGAAGGATCTTGTTAAGAAGGTATAGATCTGCAGCTGTGAAATTAATCTTCCTTCTTGTCATATGTTAGTGCTGAACTTCACTCTCCTGAACTTTGCTTTGCTTTTTCATCAAAGGTTCAAGCTGCTCGTGATGAAATGCAATGGGGTGAGGAGGGTCCTCCTCCACTGCTTGTTAAAATTTCTCCAGACTTGTCTAAAGAAGACCTTGAGGATATAGCAGCAGTATGCTCACTTGCATTTAGACACTACTTCATTGTTTACCTGTATTATGTTCTTATTGGTTCTTTTCTTTGATTTTAGGTTGCTGTTGCCCTCCGCTTGGATGGATTGGTATTTTTCTTCCCTTTGGAAATTTCTTATATTTCTTGTCCATTTCTTATGTCATTAGAAGTTTCTTGCTTGATGGTGCATTTTAGTCATATTTCTTACTCGTATACTTCTATAATTAATTTGCATCCATATGACATTTTTGTTCTTTCACTTACATTTACATTTTGGAAAAATAAATCAAGTAGTATTCTAGCCCTTACATTTATCTGTAAAGAAAGCCATATTTTTATAAAGTCATATTCCCAACGTTTTTTTTTTCTTTTTCTAAATACAGTAAAAGAACATCATGATGAAATTCATAGCTGTTTACATGTTAATAATGGTTGGGTTTAAGAAGCTGTGATCTCATAGTACTTTTTTTTTTTTTAATTATTCTTTCTACTATAGGACTCAGAGTTAATAGTGTCTTAAATTGCACATTAGTTTTTGTTTCTCTTTTTTTCCCCTGACATTCATCTTTTTCTGTTTTCTAGATTATATCAAACACAACCATTTCAAGACCAGATCCTGTAAATAAAAATCCAGTCTCTGCAGAGTCTGGTGGCTTAAGTGGGAAGCCTTTGTTTAATTTGTCAACCAACATCTTAATGGAGATGTATCTCCTGACAAGGGTATGTTGTCTATTCTAATAAAAGATTCTTATAGAGTATTAGAGCTGTTGAATTTTCATGGTCATATCTTCTATTTCTAAATATGGTTTCCCTTTAATGTCTTGAAATGGTTATGTCTTCTACCTTTCTTTTCCAAAAACCCTACAAGCACACTCCTCTACTTCAACCCAGTTTAACATATAGAACATGAAGAAAAGCCAAAATGGTGTTCGTAAACAAACTGGCTACATCAGGTTGGAGAATATTGCCTCTTGAAAGTACAGAGGTGAAAGTTCATTTTTATAAAACCTCCAGGTGATGTTTTGTAGTTTGGCCTATGTTCCTTTTAACATTCTATGGTAGATGTTTCAGGTTGCATGGAGTTTTGTGAGCAAGAGATATGTATTGCTTGTATTTGGGTATTGACATAGATGTTGGCCTTGTAGCTGCTTGACATGTAATTCGGTGCTGGTGTCTGCTGTGTAGGAACTGTCAACTGTATTATATTGCCTTATTTCATTATCTTATTGTACATTCCAAGATGCTTCAAGTTTTTACTCTTGAGGGCATTATAATTTGTGATTATGTGTATTGTCCTGGTGTATACTTTTAATTTGGATGTTAGGATGATGGAACTGCTATGTCCACAAATGTTTACAGTTTGATGATTTCAAATTTTCAACAGCTAGGTGTGCAGCTGGCCTTATTATTGGCTTTCAATGCTTACTTTCTGTTTGTTAGTGTCTTCTCTATGCAAATCTATATTCTCAAATAAATTTGTAAAGTATTCAGATGCTTTACCTGGTCACGGTTTCTGTTTGAATTCTATTGATTGTTTTGCTTGTAAGCTATGCATCTTACTTATAAAGCTAACCTGCATTTTTTTGCTAGGGAAAGATCCCTTTAATAGGCTGTGGTGGTATTAGCAGGTATAGTCAGGATATTTATTAATCATTACCATTCATTTTATTATCTAGATGATGTCACTGCCACCATTAGGGGTGTAAATGATACGCATGTGCTTGCAAGCTACTTGGGCTTGGCTCAAACAAAACTTGA